AAAGGAAAATTTAGTACAATGCCAGATCATAGGATGGCTTAAAGTCTAAGTAGGCCAAATTCTTTCTAGGCATAAAGTTAGAAAATGTGAAGTAACTATAATTGTCATTCTCCTTTAGTGACATAAAATACATCACCACCAAAAAAAAAAAGCCAGTTGGAGTGAGAAGATTAATCTGAAGTAAATGAAATAAGTTTTGGTTTATTAAACTTTGAACTAAAGTTCATTTTCTTTGAGGTGCTTTTTATAAAATTTTGTGCTTAGCAGCAAAGAGGTACAGATGGATCATCAGTTGCTCACTCACATATGTATTTATTTCAAACCAATCCACAGCAATTAAAAATAGGAACTCTAAAAATTACTGCATAAGGTAAGAAAAGGGATAAAATACATAAGGCAGTTAGTAAAGCAAGGTCCAAACTCCTTCAGATACCAGGAGTAACACACAATGTCTTTGGAATACATCCACCTCTCTTGAAATAACACTAAAAGAGCAGAGGTGAACAAGAGATAACAAAGGTGTGGAGGTGGCAATGTACTTAACCATGCATTAACCACACCCACAACATAATATTATACATATATCAAGATTGGAGTCAGCTCCCTGGATTCCACTGATAAATGCAAAACACTGAAGCTTTATTGTGTCATCTCAATTTCTGGATATAATTACAATCATTAATTCCAATGAAAAATTCCGAAATTATTTAAAACTCAGCACAACAAATGAGTTTAAGTATAAGAACATGAAAGTTGTACTTTCATCTACATTATACAAAGCAGAAAATATTCCATAATATCTGGGAGAAAAATATACATACTGTGACCCTTTCCCACAATTAAGTCAATTAGTCTCTAAATAACAACTATGGCATTTTCTTAAGTTACTTTGCTGGATTTTTACTTTAGGTTTCTGGTGTATCATTGAGGAACAAATTATGGATTATTAAGACACTAAGAAATCATCTATTTTTTAATTCTGTTTGGTCTCTAATTACATTTAATGCACATTCTTCTGTTTCTTCTCTCAGATACTGAATCTTTTGTTTCCTTTCCATCCATACAATAAATTGTTTCACCTCAGCTGACTCCCTTTTTTTAATATCAAGCTCAGCTTCTTATCCATGCCCCACCCCCAAATACTACTTAATATACAAAGATATTCCCCACTATATTCAGTATAATAGGTTTTCATGAATCATTTGGCAGCTTATAATCTATGTTTTAAAGTTCAAAAAACAGATGTATGCACATGTGGCTTTAATCTATTTCATGCTGCTGTATCTAAGCGGTAACCAACTTCTCCGCCAAGAACAAACATAAGAGATATAAAAACCATAACACTCACTAACTAATCATCTCAGCTTCTATACTGGTAGAATAAGATTTCTTTCCAGGTGAAGAAAATACTTGAGAAGCCTAATAAGACTGCAGCAGGACAAAAACTACCATCTGGAGCATCCAAATTCAGAATTATTCCCTCTCTCTCAGGCTCTTAGCTCCTGAAGGCTGAGTATGCTGTAAAGAAGATGAAATTAGTCTCTAGGGAAGGGCTTCTGCAGATCATCACTGGCATTGGTTATGCAGAAGGCAACACACAATCTCTGGGATAAAAATAACATACAGAAGTGGCAGCTGCCCAGAAAAAGGATATGGAGATAAGACATAGGGAGAGAAAGAAAGGGAAGAAAGAAAGGAAAGAAAAGAAAGGAAAAAAGAAAAGGAAGGAAGGAAGGAAGGAAGGAAGGAAGGAAGGAAGAAAGAAAGAAAGAAAGAAAGAAAGAAAGAAAGAAAGAAAGAAAGAAAGAAAGAAAGAAAGAAAGAAAGAAAGAAAGAAAGAAAGAAAGGAAAGAAAGAAAGAAAGAAAGGAAGGAAGGAAGGAAGAAAGAAAGGGAGGAAGGAAGGAAGGGACAGAGGGAGGGAGACAGGGAGGGAGGGAGGAAAGAAGGAAGGAAGGAAGGAGACAGACGAAAAAATCCTCACATAGAAAAAGAAAATATCCTTCAAATTTTTATATGTTTTAAAACTAAACTTTATTACGAAAATTTTGAAGTATATACTGCAACAATTATTTGCATATCAGAACATGTTACTAGATAGTAAAGCTTATTAAAGTAGAAGATTTAAGTGTTTTTGTGGCATCTTCTAGCAAGCAGCACAGTGCCATGCAACAAGGCACTTCATGCTCTTCTCTGAATGAGTAACTGACTTCTCTTCAACTTTTATCAAAACACAATATAAAATAATTCTTGATTTGAATATTTTATTATGAGTCATCCTGGACTGGCAACATTTATTTAAAGAAATTCAATAATAAACTCATGCTATGAAGTGTGAAGGAGGATTATAGAAATGTCACCTTTTGTGTATGTGGTAGAAAGCTGTCATTACATTAACTATGATTTCTAACTAGAACAGGAGAAATAAGTTCATGCTTAAAAAAAAAACCAAAACACCCTGAAACCACAATGTTCTATCAAATTGTTATTTAACTTTGAATCTTCTTGTTAAGCACAGGCTTTACAGTAATAAAGCCAAAAAGGAATCATATGCATATGAATTGCCAATGAAGAGTAAAGAGGAAAAATAAACAGAATAACTTTAATTACTACTTGCAGAACATGCTCAAGTTATTTTTGGAAAGATCAGAATAGCAAAGCCAAAAAGCTAAACACAAACTTGCCTTCAAAGACATTATATTTTAAAACCTCTGAAATTAATTTTATTTTAATTAAGTTTTCAGGCCTTAAAAGTACTAGTTCTAAAGAAGGTACATATTTCATTGCTGACCTCACAGAACCAATGCCCAGAATGTCCAGGGTGAAATAGGGCACATGGAAAGGAATTGGATTCTTATAGTAAGAAGTGAGCTGCGGCTATTCAATTTTTAAAATACCTCCAAGCTGATTCTCAAAATAGAAACGCTGTCACATTAGGTACATTTTCATGACTACTACAGGGCTCTGTTCTTTAAAGAGTAACTTACCCATATCTACAGTAGCTCTGTACAACTGAATTAGAATGGAAACCATAATAAGAACAGCCCAGAGCAAAACCTAGTTTTTGTTGATACTAGTCCAGTAACAAATATCAAATATTATAAAGTAAACTATTTGAGATAATAATCTAAGATCAACACAAATCAACACTTTAACTCTATATATGAAACCTTAGGTTTTTTTTCTTTTTAACTTTAAAAACAACACAGAAAAAATCATTTGACATGCATAGGATATTTTAGGGCAGTTAACAAAATGCAATGTTGTACTAAAATCAGGTTTGTGTGATAAGCATGAGAACACAGGTATTCAGTAACAATCTGAAGAGACATTTATGTTCATAATATATTTAAGCATCCCTTTTTCAGAATTAACTTTAGGCAACTTAATTTTGGTCACAGTAGGAAAGAAAAGAAAAAAGATATGATAAAAACACAAATATATAGATTAAGGGATTAAACGTGGACTAAAAAAGCAGCATAAGCTAATTTGCTCAATCTAATCATGTTGATATGCCTATAGTATTAACTACAGCTAGATAGTAGGTAGAGCAGGGAACCTGAAATCAAGAAGATCCAAGTTCAAATACAGTGTCAGATTTTCCTAGCTGTACAACACCCAGGTAAATCACTTAACTCTCATTTGCCTCAGTTTCCTTGTCTATAAAATGGGGATAATAATAGCACACAGTGTTGTTGTGAGAACGAGATACTTTGTAAAGCACTTTACAATCCTTAAAGTGCTATATAAATGCTAGCTATTATTATTATTAGCTATTACTTACTATTAACTCACAACTATTGGTAAGTACCAGTAAGGTAGTTCCCTATTTGGTAGTTATAGCTGATTTACTGTATCTAGGCTTATAAGATTTAGACCCAGAAGAGACTACATAGTCATTTAGTTCAAAACCTTAATGTTAAAGTGTAGGGGATAGTGGTGGAGAAGAAAGGAAAGCTCAAACAGACTCAGTGACTTGCCGAGGAATAAACATATAGTTAAGTAGCTGCTTCTAAAACAACCTTATTATTCTGCCTGCAACTTTATCTTTAAAACTTTAATCATTAAATCATAACAAATAATTGTTAGCTGTAATTAGTGCATATTTATTGAGTAACTTCATATACATCTTACATTGAATTAGTTTTTCAATGAGCTTCATTTTGAATTACTAAATTATTCAAAAGAAACTAGAAGTCTCTGAAACATTCAGTAAAAACCCTCTTCAAAGTCCATAATCACAAAATTTTTTCATGGAATTCAAATTTTAGCACCATATACATATTTCTTTTCCATATATATTTAAAAGAAACTTTGAAAATATAGCTATCACTCTTTTGAAAAACTAGTTTTATATAACAAAGTCCAAGGAGAAATTAAAATGACCAAATATATAGATATGTTTAATTGATTAGAAGATTTGTTTGTTTAAATCAAAGACAGCTTTTATGAGAGGAAATGATTTCTGTTTCAGAGGGTTTACGGTCATTTATTGTTAGATTTTCAGAGATCTTCAGAGATCAGCTAGTCCAACCCCCTAATTTTAAGAGAGAGAAGGAAACTGAGGCCCAGAGGGATTAAATGAGTTGCCCAAGGTCACAAAACTTGGTTGAAAGGACTAAAACAATCTAGATCTCTCAACTCCCAGGTTTCAGTGATCTTTCAGAAAACTACTTAGAAAATAATTCTGAGGTTATAAAACTTTCATTTTAAATCGTGATATGCTACCCACTTAAACAAAAATGGAGGGGAAAAAACCAAACCCTAACTGTAGACATTTAAACTACACCTGGCTTATATTCACTATCTCAGATAAACATATCATCATGTGCACTAAGCATGTTTTGCCTCAGATAGGAAAAAAGCCACGTGTGTCAAATTGATAAAACTGAAAAGCTGCAGTACGTTATCTATCACATTTGCCATCACAGGGTATTAGTTTTATTCCATAGACATACTATTACTTTTAACTACTTGTTAAAGGAAAATAGTTATATTTACCTTTAAGTGAATCATTTTCAGCTCTCATTATATCAATGAGTGAGCTCTCTAATGAGTGCATGTCAAATGTCCTTGGGCGCTCCTGAAAACAAAAACATTGACAAACCACTTTTAAAAAATTTATTATTTGAATATTTAAGTATGGCATAAACTAAAGTGGCAACTTCACTCTTGTCCATGTAGAATCAAAAATCAGTTTCTTTGTAAGAAAGCCAAAATCAAATTGTCTGTATTAATATTTCAAAACTTTAATACTACAATGAGCCAGCAAGGAGTAGAATAAAATAAATCCCTATCAATGACTTCATCAAAAACACTATTATATATTCTACACAAACTATAGAAATTAAAAAAAAAGTTTAAATTTTCCTAACCAACTGTTACTGTTTATTTAGTAGGGTTAAGTAGGTACATGCCAGCATCCATGTCATCATAATTATAGTGAGGTTTGTGTACTGGATAAGGAACCAAACCTCAGAATCAGGACCAAATGATTGTGGGACACAGGGAAAATGCCCTTAGCCTCAGTGTCCCCACGCACTCTCTCAGACCCTGTTGCACTACAGGTGCGCATCCACACTGTTGAAGGAGTTTCCTCACCAAAAGTTCCTCACAGCAACAGGATTAACTGGGCCAGTAAGTCATAACAGCCTGATATATGGCACTTTAAAACTTACAAAGTGCTGTACATTTTCTGATGTTATATGATCCCATAATATCTCTCTGAGGTAGATATTAAAAGCATTATTATCCCTATTTATACATGAATAAATTAAGTCTCAGTTGTTCAGCTAGTGTCAGAGGAAGGATTTAAAGCTAGGATTTCCTGACTCTAAGCCCAGAATTCTACTCACTGAATGCTATACTGCCTCCCTGAAGGTATTTTTCACAATGAGAATTTTCCCACAACTCAAATCTTTAAATTGCAAAGCCACCAAATGCTTGCTGGAATACTAGAAATATAAATAACAAATGATATCTTTATTTTTACACAGTCTAAGAAAAACAAAAATTATGAATTGTTTTATCCTTACATATAGTCAAAGTTGTCCTTAAATATAATACATTATCATTTTCTAAACAGAGGCAGTAGAGATTAGTAAAATTGTTTTATCTCTCTGGCCTTAATCAACTTAAACATTTAAGTATCAAAAGCAACTTAATACCCACTGCAACCCTGTTGTATTTATGATTTAAAGCAAGCTACTGCAACTATTTTAAAGGAACATTCTCATAAACATATTTTTTTCCTGTTATTGACCAACTGCTATTGTTTAATTGAACTAGGTAAACACCTTCACAGCATCTGTTCAAAAAGGCATCCTTTTACACGCATGTATTTGGATATTTTTAAATATATGAATCTTACATGTTCATAGTAGTGCACATGCAGCATGCCTAGTTCTACTTTTTTCATTCTGTAGCATTTTCTTTAGATTGTTCCATATTTGCATATATCCTTCTTATTTTTCATGCTTCATGGCAATAGAGTCCTCAATTACATTGTTTTAGTGCAGTTTGCTTTGAAATTCCCCAACTAGGAATTTACATTGCTTTCAATATTTTTACTATTAAAATAATGCTACAATAAACATCTTTGTTTAAGTAATTGTTTTTTTTTAATTTATTTTCTTGAGATGCATTTCTAACCTGTCCTACAACTCATCTTGAATGACAAGATGGCTTTCCAAAAAGATTATAACAATTTCTAATGCCATCAGTGTACCCATTTCTCCCACTAATATTGAATTTTATAACTTTTAATTATTTTTACCTAATTGATGGGTGTGAAATGATACCTTATAAATGTTTTAGCTTTTCTTTCTTTAATGACTAGTGAGGCTGTTATTTTTTTTTCAAGTGTTTGGGTTGCCCCATGGTAAACTGCCTGTTATCTTTTGTCTATTTGTCCATTTGAAACTAGATAATAATTTGTTATGTAAATTCTGATGTAACATTAACATTAGTCATAAAAAATCTCATGAATTACTAGTCTTAATTTTGTTTTGGATGAATTGAATTCACCTTGAAAAATGTTTATTCTTATATAACCAAATCCATCAATCCTGTCTCCAGTAATTTCAACACTCTTCTATATTTGAAAATAAGGCATTTTTCTACATTCTTCGATTTTAACTCATCAATTTGCCTGTTATTTATTGTATTTTCCCACATATTGGTGCCCAATTTTTATAACAGGATTTATTGAATGATTTCCTTCCCTATCATTTAACAACAATAGCTTTATTGTATATCAACCATTTGTACCAATTTGCATTTTTATGTGATTCCTATTTTCTTCCATTGCTCTAGTTTTCTACTTTTTACCAAATATCAGATAGCCTTGACTGTCGCTCTATAATATTGTTGATTTATTTTCAAGGTCAGTAACCTAAATGGGAAGACAATAAAAACACATGCTGCCCCACACTATAAAAAAGAAATCTGGCATAATGAGTTCTGAGTGCATTGGGACATGATTTCAATATCTTAACCCAAGCAGAGGCTAGTCTCATTATTCTGATGAAACCTCCTTCAAGGAAAAGCTGGGATGCTGTAGGACAGTATGTTTAAGATTTGTCAGGCAGCCGTTCCCTCTAAGCTTTAACAAATCAAGATCTTACTAAAGGGTAGATGAATCTGCCGAAACATCTTCTTTCAAATTAGATGAGCAAGTTGTCCTCCCCCCACCAAAGTTTTGTGTATAAAGGGTTGACACAACTAAAAATTTAGTAATGCAAATGACTATATCTCAATTCTGTTTTTTCCCCCTCCACTAGTAAAGTAATTATTTATTTTTACTTCCCTTTATTTAAAAATGGTGCTGAAGAAAAAAAAAAAACACCTGCTGGACTATATTCCTGGCATAAGGAAGATTCATTCAAAAGTGGGCAAGGAATTCTAAAATACACAGTGTACAAATTGCTTTGGATTTTTTTCTAGATGAAGGGGAATAGAAAAACTAAAGCTTGTTAGGTTTGGAGGAAGAGATAAAAATATTTCAAAATTACATTTTAAAAGTAAGCAGCAGAAAAACTTGCATCTACAAAACACACACACATTCAAACACAACACACATACCTCCAATACAACCTTAAAGAAAGAGTTCATTCCTTACATTTTCTAAAGTCAATTCTTTCCCCTTTCATTTAATTCTATTTTCTTTTATGTTTCTCTTAAACAAAAATAAACTTTCCACTGATTAGTTTAAACATACACTTGATCTACTTGAGCTCTCTGCATTCACTTTCTCACCTGATATTAGTGTTCACTTACCCAAGATACTGACTTTATCATACCTCCTTTCAACTTCTAATTTTCACTCAGTAAATAAAGCGTTCAGAAGAATCCTGAAGTTTGTTGCAGTATGAATATAAATTTATTTTCCACAGATTAGTCTCCAGTCTATCATCCACATAGCCACAAAAGTCATTTTCCTTAAGCCCAGGTCTGACCATTTCCCTCCCCTATTCAATAAACTCCAGTGGCAAACAATTGTTGAGGATCAAATACAAACTATTTTAGATTTCAAAGCCATTTATAGCCTGGCCGGAACCTACTTTTTCATCTTTATTATAAAAGATTCCCCTCTCCATACTCTTAAGGTCTAGCCAAACTGGCTTTATTGCTATTCTTTGCAAACAGCACTCTATCCATTGCCCATATGGGTGCCTTTGCACTGTATAATACTCTATGCCCGGAATGTCCTCCACTTTACCACTACCTCACAGAACCTCTTCCCTCAAGATTCAATTTAAGACTGACTTCTTTACGAAATCTTTCCTGATTCCCTCAGCTGACTGTGCCCCTTCCTCCCTAAAACTACCCTGTATTTTTTATTAATTTTCTATGTACATGCTCTCACAATAACATGCAAACTCCCCGAGGGATTACTTCGTTTTTAGTCTTTGTATCCACAGCATCCAGAACAGTGCCTGGCACATAGTAAGTTCATAACAAATGCTTACTGATTGAATCTCTTCATCTTTAGATGGGTAGGAGGATGTGATCCAGATTAGAAAGGGTTATTGTCAGGGTAGACATGAAAGGATGTTTTTAGTTTCCTTTCTTTCAAATTACATTTTCATAAATTTTTCTGAAGTAAAGATTTCAGTCACACAATTAGAAAGACATGAGGGTTAATAGAAGATGATAAATCTAGAATAATCTCTCATTCACAGTACCACAGAATGCAACGGCTTTTAAGCTACTTTTAAATTTTTATAGCTAGTTGGGGAGGAACACAGCTACAGTAATGCGATCTTTTCTGTATGTTACCTTACATCCTCTGAAATTTCCACATCCAATGTGGGACAAACAAGTCTAGGAATCAAAGTATATTTTAAATTCAAGTATATTTTAATTGCTCAGACATTTCTTCTTTTGTAACATCCCCTATCCAGTTCTTGTCTGTATATTTTCCCCCTTTTCTATATATTACTATTCCTTTGATGAAAACTACTAAAATAAATAAATGTGAAACGCAGAACTTAGACCATTCCTTTCTTAGAATGACAAAAGGAATTTGGACAATTATGACTTTTGAGATACCTTGTGGAAAGTAGCAGTTTATACATATATTTCCATTTTGTTTCATGTCCTATGCAGCCATTAAGATGAGAAGCCAATTCCAAAATAACGCACTAGCAAATTTCCCAAGTGTGATATTGATATTTTCTACTAAAACTCAAGTAAAGAGCTAAATTAATTAAATAAATATTTATTAAATACCTAACTTATGCAAGGTCTTGTGATGAATACAAAGAAGAGTGAGTCATATAGTTCTTGCTTTCATGTATCTGGCAAGCTAGAAGAGATACAACATGTACACTAATAATTAAAAGGGACTAAATCTTTAAAAATTTTGTATCTTCCCATATGCCTACAATAGTGATCTGCACAGGGTAAGTATTTAATAAATGATCACTGATATGAACTGAATAATAGAATATAAAAATGTACCAACACATGAAAAAGATTCTGAAAATGCAGAGGTAGAAGAGAATGCTTTCTATTGGGGTATATCAGGAAAGGTTTCATGGCTTGGACTTTGAATGAATAACAACAGCTGACATACAGTTC